CAACGTCAACCAAGTGGTTGGGGAGTCCTGGGCTATCAGCTCCAAGGTTGTCTTGGAACACTGCTCGGACACCTTGATGTATGCTTTCCTGTCCGGCCCTCGGTTTTTGAGGTTTCGCATCGAACCAATGCCGGACATACCGTCTCAACTGTTTACCTTGTTGTCCCTTTTTGGGCTAGGTTGGTTCGAAATAGTGGCACTTCGGGGCAATGCATGTTCGTTCGAATGCACCAAGCGCAATGCAGTATGACCCGGGTGCTTGCTTTGCGCTGGGAAAGGATCCCGGATCTGACAAGACATGTGAGAGAAGAGGGCAGAGCTACTCAAAGGATGTGTTTCCTGAATGGGCAACGGCACGTAATTATTCGTTGTGATCATGATTATGATGATGATCATCATCATTAACAACATTAGCAGCACAGGAGTCCCCCCCCCATATGTAACAATAATCATATCTGAGCAATATTGAGTCGGGCGCTGGCAATGGCAGCCTTGCATATTGCAAGGTGTGTTCAGGCCAATCACCATGCACTTGCAAGCCAGGTGCTTGCACTGTTTGGGGTGACATTTGAAGCGTCAACCATGTTCTTCCCTTGGAATGGGGCTTGAGTTGAAAGGTAGGTTGCATAGTGGAACCGAGACCCCCAGTCATGTCTTTGTTTTCTATTTTGAATGGGGGTTTGCCTTCTAGTCAACTAAAGAGCAGGATATTCTGGTTTTCCCGTGGCCAGTGGGTGGCTGGGCTGAGCCCCCACCCAGTTGCATTGCCAGTGTCCCACAGGGCCATGTCTGGCACCCAGATGCCCGTCTCGAGAGCACAAATGAAGAGATATGATTGCATAAGGGTTTTAGCATCTTCGCACCACACAATCCACTTGTTTGAGGCGTCTCTTCTTTGGTTTTCGGATGGTTTTTAAAGGGACATGGACATGTCCGTTGTTGTTCGTCCCAGACCCCAAGTGGTCGTTTGGAGGGGTTCCCCTTTGAAATCTACCAAACGAAGCAGTGCCGATTCTTTCTTCCCGGCCACAAGCCTTACAAGGTGGCACCTTAGCTGTCCTTTTCTCAGGGGAATGGTTTCATCTCCAAGGCATCCGTTTCCTGAAATCTTCCATTTGCTGAAAGGACTATTTGTTGTTTTCCCCTGTTGGTTTTAAAGGGAATCGGCTTCACTACAGGAGATATGTTCTCAGTTTTGCCAAGTGCCTCAACACAGCAATCACTGATCTTCCGCGAGAGCCCATTGAGAGGGGTCCGTTTTTGTTCCCCTTTAGAACGACCAAAAGCTCAAAACGCGGCACACAGACCCATCCCGCAAGCGGCACATGACGCCGCGGCTTCGGTCAGGTGGAACAAGTCCCACGGCCACAACACCGTGGCAAAGTGCTCGGGGCAAACGATTCCGGTCGCCTCCGGTCGCCTATACAAGTGACGATCCCAAAGTCACTTTGGGTGACCTAATTGTTTGCTGGTGCGGTAGGTAGGGAATGAGAAATGAAATGAACCGTTTTGGGATTCCCGAATGAAGGAAACCATAGGATGGATGGCTTATGAGGGGGTCATTCCAACTCATTTCCTGCTGAGCACCAGCAAGTAAATGGGTTCTAACAACTTGATTAAATAGGTTCCAGGATGCTATGCGCATGATTGTCCTTTGGTGCGAGCTGGAACGATGCTGCGCGATAGAACCTGTTTAGGGGCCCATGAGCGACAATGATTGCGTTTCTGAGTTTGACAGACAATTGTGAATTGATGGTGACTTTGGTGGATGGCTTGGACTTTCACTGGCCTTGACCCGAGAAGGGGGTCCTTTGGTCCCTCCCAGGAAAACAAAAATCAACAGTTCACATAGATGTCAAGTGAGCCACTTGCTCAAAACCCGGGTAGATGAAGGTTTGTAAGGGGCAGTCCCAGCCGGAAATAGTTGCGGCCGCCTTTCCAATTCTTGAAGCATGGTTCTGGGTTCATTCCCAGGATCGGATCGGAGCTCCCCAAAAGTGAGCGACCGCGGACCCCTGGATCAGAAAAGCCCAAGATGTCGTCCAGGAGAATTCCCTAAAGTCTGTCGGTTTTCGGCACCCCCGTCTCAGAATCTGGCTGTTTCTTTTTTCTCCTGGCATGTTACTTCAGAAAGGAAATGGGGAACATCTCGGTATCCCTAAAATGCCAGGAAAAGCCCACAAGCTGTATGGCCCTATGATCCCATGGCCACAGAAAATCGCCCTTAAACCTGTCTCCGAAGACTTCAGCAAGCAGAAACGGCTCATTAGGTCATACCAGCTTCAGAGGTTCTTGGCAAGTTGCTTGTCGCTTGATTGTTTTTTAGCTGTTGGGTTCTGTTCATGTTTAGTAGAGTGCTGTAAAAACAACGTTTTTTGCAAGCCCCGACCAAGGGTTGCGACGCAGGATTTCATGGGGATCCGCAGGTTTGGTCGTTGAAGTACTCACTTGCCCGAATCGACCTGCAACGACCTGCAATGACCTTTTTGTTTCCCTTCTAGTTCATTTGTAGTAAAGGTTCCAAAAGATCAACCGTATTTTCTAGGTTCTTTGGGCAACTGAGAGTGATGTAATTCATGCAGGTTTATGACTACATCTCAAAGTGGGAGACCCATCGACATGCGTTGTGTCCTTTCGGTTTGCCGAGATTTTCTGAGAAAGGGCCCCCCACATTTTTCCGAGCAATGTACTTGCAAATGATATCCTTGGAGAATGGCGGGGGCCCAAGATGATTCGTTTGATTGGCGTTTTTGTTTGCCTTCCCTTTTAGCCGACACTGAAAGGGTACGCTCCCAAAAGCGAAAACACGCGCACACACACAAGCAGCAAGCTAGAACGCAGCTTCCCACAACCATTACCCGGATTTCGGATTCTACCATGTCACAAAAAGGACTATTCATACACATCTCTAGGGGTTGATTCCCCATTATGTTAATCGTTCTTTTCAAAAACCATCCATTTGCCCAGGGTTTTTGGTGGTTTTCTAGAAACCCATGGAAAGAATGGACATGGAAGATACCACCAGAAAGTTAGAGATGGACAACCAGCAGGGCTGTGGTCAACAATCGGGTACCCCCAACATGGCCGTAAGTCAAAACCCACAAATTGTCCCAAGCGCGGGCGGGCCGGTGAAACCCGCGAGGTACTGCCCAGACAACTTGGCCGCGTTGATGGAGTGCCCTTTCTGCGGGGCCTGAGTTGATGCATGGAGCTGGTTTAAGGGGTGGTTCTGTCTCGTTTAATCATGGAATCTTCACCGGGGCTATGGGGGGGGGGTAATTATCCTGGATAAACCCAGGAGAACCCAAGGATAAGCCCTCAATAAGGCCTTAGTAAGGGCTTAATAAGGGATAGCCCCCCCTCCCCACAGCCCCCCTTAGGGTCCATGATTTTAGCTGGCCAGCCCCGAAAATTTGAGGCTTACCCATGGCTGTTGTTGGGAAACATCTTGCATCTTTGCTGATTGCGATTTAGTGATTGAATTCCCCGGTTAGCTGCTAAATTTTAAATAATTGCTTTCCTTCCAACGTCAACCAAGTTCAAGCTGGTCAGCCTTTGAGGCTTGCCCTGGTTATTCCTCATGATTGGTGCACTCCCCGAGTTCCTGGAGATCAGTCACTTTTTAGGAAGACCACAGTGGCGAAGACACTGTTTGGACCATTTTGAGACAAACCCGATCGCTTGAGCTTCTTCGTCGAAGCCATTTTTCAACCCGGCAAACTGTCAAACTGTGTGCGGAGGGTAGCCACGCACTAGCGCAATGTGGGTTTCCTCTTTCGGTTGAAATCGCGGTTTCGCTTGATTCTGTTTTGTTCGTAGTCAGCGCTTGGGCAAGTTCAGGTTTCCTTTTGCCATCAAAGATCATGTGTGGTGTGTTGCCCCTTCGGCTTCCGGTTTTGGATTGCAGGGCTGCCATTTGGATTGCGCAAACCCAAACAATTTGATTCGGGTGACATTCCTTTGCTTCGAGGGTCTAGACTGTACCTCCAGTACCCGTGTTCCTTTACTGAAAGGGTTTTGAGGTTAAAACTTGCCTGCGCAGATCTCATGCGTCGACTTCAAAAAAGAAACGGGAGACATCGCCGTGCTTTCGCCGTTCCTGATCCTGGATCCTGATTGCGCTGGCCTCTCCCTGAGTTCCTGGGCTTACTTTTTGAAAAGGACCCAATTTGGGTATGGGTCAAAAAGAAAAACCACCAGGATATGGAACACAGATTTTAGTCCTTGTTTCCATGTAGGGTGTCATTTTGGGCACCTATTGTTGACCAGCCATTTAGTGATAAATAAACACTTGAGCCACAATCAAAACCCGGGTAGATGAAGGTTAGTAAGGGACGATCCCAACTATAAATAGCTGCGGCCGCCTTCTTAATTCCTTACATGGTTCTGGGGGCACCATTTTTGTACCGGGTTTTGATTGCGACTCACTTGGGACTTTTTTGGCCAATCCACTTAGGAAGCAAGACTGGCGGCATGCCCGACATGCGCCGTTTTGGCCATGGTTCGGACCCGCCCCACCTAAAAACAACCCATGTTGAGGCCCTGAGATCAATCGGGACCCTTGGGGTACTTGTGCACTAGCGTGGGGGAGTGGCTAGAAAAAGTAAAGCCCCCCCAAGACGAGTTGGGAGAGACAAATATCCAAACACGACATCTCCAAGTAATCATCCAGCACGTTTTTGGGTCCAACTGGTTCAGTATTTGTGTGGTATGTGTTTTGTATAGGTTTCGTGGTGGTTCGGTGCGATCAGAATACTTTCTCTTGGATTCATTTCGCGTTGGTTGAATTCGCTTTGTGTTAGTTTGGTGATGCGTTGTATTTGTTTAGCGTTTGTGTAGTGTTGGCCTGGCCTAGTACAGCTTTGTGCTTGTTCAGTGCTGTTAAGTGTTAAGTATTGGCTAGTATTGATTTTGCATTGTTTCATACTGACTTAGTATTGGCTAAGCATTGCTTTGTGGAACTCGGCGCTGTTTAGTATTGGTGTAGTATTTTAGTTTTTATGTTTTGTGTCAGCTGCCTGCTGTTCAGAATTACATGAGTAGTTTTGCAGTATTGCTCAGAGCTGGGTAGTCCCGATTTAATATTTACTGCTTCAGTACTGATTACTACTGCTTCGTCCCGATTCAACACATGTTATTTCTCACTTCCCTACCCTGAAGCTTTGTTTTGTTCTTCCCTTGGTTACTGGTTGTTTGAGTAAAGCACGTCATTTAGAATTTGGTCGTTTGGGTCCTCGAGGGGAGAGGGGGTGCCTTCGCATTTGGTTTCTACAAGAACCAGGAGTTCAACTCCCCAAACCGCGAATCTAGACCACCAACTAGGTCCCCCCAGTAGTGCCCTTCCCCCAAGGGTTCCCCTACTAAAATAGACTACAGAAAAATGTTGGTACCAACTTGTTCTAACCTCTCTACTGGAGGACCTGTCCTATTGCATGGGCAGCAAAACCATCTACAGCCTTCTCAGGTACAAGAAGGCCACTGGCAAGCCGGAACCCCAGCGTTCTACCTTTCTCCAGGGTTGGGCTGGTCCCCCAAGAGAAGTCAAAAAGGAGGAGCTTGTTGAAGCAATAGCGGTTTCAACATGTTCAAACAAGGGGTTGGCAAGCAAAAGTGGGTTACACATTGGTTTCAACATGTTTAAACAAGGTGTATCAACCCTGGCACTTCCCCGAAAATCTGAGAACGATGCTCGAAAGGAGATTTCCATACACTCAGATGGTCCCTTGGTACCGTTTGGTGGGGCCCAACTGGGTGTGTCTTTCGTTGAGGGAACCTTTTTTTGTGGTTTGAGAAGGAAACACAGAGGAACACCATCATTTGGGGGTCCCGGGGGGGTTATTGCCGTTGCATACACGCCCAATCGGACCAACTTAGGAATACATTTGGGCGCATAGAATCGGGCCCAGTGGATCGGCCAGGTCATTCCACTTGCCTAACTGGGTGGCCGTTGCTTTGTTCAGGGTCTCACTTGCCCAAAGCGAATCGAACTGAACTCACCTTTTGGTTTTCCCATGTTGGAACCCATGTTTAGTAAAGGTCCCAAAAGGTGATCACCTTTTAATTCCAGGTCTTTTGGGCAAGTGCGGGGTGCACTCTTGGGGTTACTTGAAAGGGACACCACAAGGGCCACCGTGCCGTGGCCATTCGAAAGGTTCCACATCCTTTGAGCCACAGCCGGTTGTGGGCATTTTGATGCATGGTTCTTCAGGTTTTGTGGGGTGCCAGCCCTGGGCCAGAAGGTTTTGCAGCGGAGGACCAAACTAGGGGTTAATTCATGTTCCATTCTTTTCAACCATCCTTCTTTTCAGAAACCGGATCCGTTTTCCCTGGGTTTACGGAGGTTTTCGAGAAAGAAAGAATGGAAATGGTTCAAGTACCCGTAGAAAGTTAGAGATGGAAGTTTTCTCGCAGGGCCGTGGTCAAGAAGACCCCCCCAAAATTGGTGAATGGACCCAAGGACTAGGAATACCCACAGTCACGTCCTCAAAACCGATTTGGGTAGAAGGTTAGTATGGCACGATCCCAACCAATGGCTGCGGAGATCCGCCTTAATCCTGGCTGCCATGATTACGACTCACATGTCCATGGCTGCAAGGCTGACAGGACGCACAGGCGGTATCGTTCCAGCATCCGTGATGGAATTGCATCCATGTTCTTTCTTCCTTGTTTCAAAGGGAAGCCATAGGGAAAGCGTCCATTTTGGTGGTTACCTCTGAACAGCTCCCAACACGCCTATTGGTCAATGTAGTAGGTGTTTCTGCTACCTTGCTTCATTGGGTTTATAGCAGAACCCTTTTTTGACCATCGCAACTTCAATGGGTTTGGGGAGCTGCTTCTTGGGCAATTCTTATCATTTAGAGGTCATTGGCAGACTATTTGTGTGGTGGTTTTTGAAGCTTCAGTGATCCAACCGTGAGTTGCTGGATGCGCATCGACCGCATTTGACCGAACTTCAGTCTCCCAAAGTTGACCTATCATGTTGCCATGTTCCGTGTTTTCGGGGGCCATGTTTGGGTGGCTGTTCTTTCGGGGATCCAACAAGTGCAGAACATGCACGGCGGTTCCCACACACCAGAACCGAACATGGGCAAGCACTAGCACCAAACCTCTGGGCAATCGGGAAGTCTAAGACCCTGTAACAACTTCTGCTCTTGGCATGCTTTTTAGTCTTCTACTTGTTTGCTTCTGTACATGTTTAGTGGCCCGCTGCAAACAAAAACCAGTTGCATGTCAAGGAAAATGCACCCCGGTGCTTTTCGAGGAACACTCGCAGGAAACCTGTTGCGCCGTTTTCGGGGGGGTCCGAACCTGAACCCGCTTGGGGTGGGTTGTATAAGGGTGACAGATGGCAGGATGCCTTGGCAAATGAAAGGGTACCGTGGATGGACAAAATCCTGCACCACCAAAGAAACCCTGGAGGAGTGTTTTCCCGGGAAGTACTGACAAACAATGGTTTCCCATGGTTTCAAACTGGCGTAGGATTTCGGCCATCCACAGTATGACCCCAACCGGCGGGGAATGCCATCTAGTTGCCCAAAAGAAACAAGCAAACCACGCGAATTACAATCAAATCCAACCACCTTCGAAGTGGCAAACTGTTTCAGCCCTCAAAGTTTCAGGGTCCAGGTTGCTTGCCAACCCGGAGAACACCAAACTTTTTTTTTGGAGAAGGGGGTGTGCCACCAACTAATTCTTCGTAGCCCCCAGTAGTGCCCTTTCTCACCCCTTTTTTGGTTGGGAGGGTTCCCCTCTTAGAATAGACATCCTCAAAGAAGTTGGTACCAACTTATTCTAACCTCTCAAATCTGGAGGACCTAGTGGGGAGAACACCAAGCCATCCAATCCTGAGTTTTCTCTTTTTCCGACAGGGCCTCGCAGCGGCCAGACCAGCCGGGCATTTTCAGTGACTTGACAAGAGATGGACTCTGCGGGAATTTGGAAGTACCGGGCGATAAGAAGCTTTGATTTTGTGTTTTGGTTTCTTTGGTTGGTTTGTTTCTTTGGTTTGTTTGTTTGCTTTGTTTGTTTGTTTGTTTGTTTGTTTCTTTGTTTCTTTGTTTCTTTGTTTCTTTGTTTCTTCGTTTTGTTTGTGCGAGTGTCTGCGTGTGTTTGTGCGAGCGTTTGTCAGTTCTGTCTGTCTGTCTGTCTGTCTGTCAGTCTGTTTGCCTGCCTGTCTGTCTGTTTGTCGGTCGGTTTGTGTCTGTGAGCATTTGGGGGGCGGGGGGGCACATGGCTTCGGATGGGAATGCGTGATGGCTGCCATTTGTTTTCTTTTACATGTACAGTCGGAGACATTGGAGGGCTCAGGTCTGTGCACAAATTGAACGGATGCTGTGTGTGGTTGATTCTCCTGACTGCTCGTTGAGCGCCATGGCTGTTCCAAGCCTTGGCTGTTTCCGTGCGCTTTTCGCCTTTTTTGACCCCAACACACGCTTGGGACTAGTCTGCCACCTTTCTGTTAGCATTTGCCAGGATGCGCAGCCTCATTCTTCCGATTTTGGCAGATTCATTCTAGCCAGGCCTTGCCTCACATCCCAGCATCCACTGCTCGGGGGACAACTCAAGCCATGACAGGAACGGACTTGTGCCGCATCTTCCGCTATTTTAGGCAAACCCTTCATAGTCTTGCATACTCCATGCTCAATTTGTTGTTGGGGACGTGTTAGTTCAGGGTAAGCGCCAAGAGCCTTGCTTTTGATGAATGTTTCCACAGCGATGATTTGTTTCTTTACCTCCGGCGCATAACATGTGTTGTATCCGCAATCAAGTTGCTTGGGAATGGGGCCTACGGGGATCCTTCTCTCAGAGAACCACTTTGCTTTGGGAATAACGTGCGAGGCATCGCATTTGCATTCACCAGGCTGGATCGCCGTTTTCTGGTCTCTGGCACGTCCTCTCGGCGTGCTCCAGGTGCCCTTTTACCCTTTTTTGGGGGAGGGTTCCCCTGCTAGAATAGACTACAGAAACAAATCGGGTACCCTTATTCTAACTCCTCTCTAGTTTTTTTTTTTTCGCGCCCAGGTGCGTTTGGAACATTTTTCCAGACCGAGATGCCGAAAGAGAAGGCTGGTCGTCGTCCACCGCCTAGACGGTTCTAGCTTGTCTTTAGGTTCCGGTCCGCCTGAGGTTTTCCGCAATTGGTGATTTGGATTAGCGCCCCACCTTTTCATGGTTGTTGTTGGGAAACGTTTTACATTTTTGCTTATTGTGGTTTAGTGGAAAATCCCCACTTAACTGCTAAAATTTAAATGTTTGCTCCCCTCTCAACGTCAGCCACCTTTTGACACAAGCCAAACCACAAACTGCAGGATTCTTGGCTTAGATTGCCGGTTTGGATCTGGATTCGCAGCCCACTTTTGACACTTAATCTTCCCTAGAATTAGCTCCCCTTTTTTGTGTTTTGCTTTTTTGGGTCCCTTTAGTTTTCCACTAACCAGGCAAAACACATATTGTTTTTGCGGGGGTCCTAATTCCAGCCAAGAAATGGGGATTCCCTAAGGTCCAAACCAAGCCAAACCACAAGCTTCAGGGGTATGGTGACCTGCCAAAAACGTTTGGAGCCGGAGCTGGAGCCCCGAAGTGTACTTCGCGCGCAGTTGCACAAAAAACTGCTATTGGATCTTTAGACTTTGACTTTTTGGTTGAAATCAAGTTGGGCTTTCCACTACCTCCAACAAGTTATTCACTTGTTGCAGGGGGGTCGTTGCAGCAACCAAGTGAAAGGTTGGGACTTTCGTCTTGGAAGTGCTGGCCTTGCAGTCGTGAGTGAGATGGTCCAGCCCAGAGAGACACAAGTCTCGCACCCCAAAGGAACGGAGAGAGCGCAACTTTGGCCTCAACGCGGGTTTCTGGGCTTACGACATGGGCGTGGGATGTTTCGACTTCACGTGTGCTTTGGGTGAGTCGAAGATTCCATGGTTGTTCTTGGGAAACGTTTTACATGTTTGCTTATTGTGGTTTAGTGGGAAATCCCCACTTAACTGCTAAGTTTTATTTTTTTGCTGCCCTTCCAACGTCAACCAATATTCCCTTGAAGGCACCAGTTGCATAGTTTTTCTCGGTCATTCCATTTCTCATTCCCTGCTCATCGCACCAACAAGTTGGCAGTCCATTCCCAGAACTCATCGGGTGAAGTCTTGCACCTGGGGGTGGACCATTTTCCATACCTGAAGTGCCCCAAGGGCACAGAATGGGTTTTATAAAATGTTTGCTCCCCTTCCAACGTCAACCAAGTCTTCTTGGGGGCAACCCCTGGGTTTGTCTGAAGATTGGGATGTGGAGCCCCAGAATGGGTTTTGGTCTCTGTTTGGCGTCCCGCAACACCAACCCAAACGGCTCCGCACTCAACAAAACCAGACGCGCCCACGTCCGGCGGGTGCGCGGCGAGCGCAGGGCAAGTCGCCGGAGGAGGTGGCCTTGCTCTCCACGAAGTGAGCCGGGCTCCAGCTGCGAAGTGTTTTTTGTTTGCGTTGGACGAAAGACCTGGATACCCAAAGTGGAAGCAACAAAGGTTGAGTTGCCTCGCCTGCATCCCAGCATACTATTGCATCCCCCTCTTGGATTCTGGCTTCCCATCGTCCCTGAGTGATGCACGGAGTACATTTTTGGAGCAGTACCCAAAATGGAAGCCTGGTAAATGGAAACAATGACTAAAACCTGTGGTTGTGTGCTGGTTTAATTTTGACCCCTACCCATTTCTTCCCTAGAATTAGCTCCCCTTTTTCATTGTTTGCTTTTTTGAATCCCCTTTGTTTTCCACAAACCAGGCAGAGGTATATTATATATATATATATATTTTGCTGGGGTCCTAACTCCAGCCAAGATTTCAGGTCGATTTGGAGGGAAACAATCCGGAAGGCCACAAATTGATACAACTTGTAGGAACACCTACACCCACCTTTCAATCAAGAAGGTGCTGAAGAATCTGAATCTGGCCAAGGTAAGGGTTTTGCAAACCGGGAAGACGTAGTGATTTATGTCCACACTGGACCGCCTTTGATTTGACCAAGTTACCTTCTTGGGGATCTCTGATTTCAGGTTGTAGAAGAAGATGTAAACACTGGCAGACTGTTTTGTGGGAGGGTGTTCCTTTTGGTTTCCCCTTTCAACCACTCCGAAAAGGGTACCCTGAAAAGAAGAGGCGCTCATTTGGTGTCTGGAGACAGGTAAAGCGGAAGGTCAGATCGCCCCCCCACCAAACACCGGACGGGAATGAGACATGGAGTGACCCCGAGAAAAAAAAAGAGAAAACAAACACATCCAACTGGTGGTGTCCTAAAAGGGATTCCCCCAAGCCGGCTCATTCCAAGCACCCGGAACGGTCATTCCCTACCTATCGCACCAGCAAGTTGCTCCCCGTGGAATCTGAAAGCAACTTGTATCACCAAAGGGAGTCGCTAGCTTTCCAAGGAAGACATTAGGATTCAGTTGAGTCGGATGGAACGCATTCGCCGCGGAGCCTGAGAGCCTGTGGTTTTCGATGTGCGGGATTTGCTGCGAGGATTCTCCTGAAGGAGCATGGGAGCAGTTTTGCCCCCCTCGCAACACATGCGCCGCCCACAAAGCACCTTAGGTGCAAGCTGTTGCTTTCCGAAACGCGCCTGGCATAGAACTGCTGGAGTCTTTCAGGCTGACGTATATCTGTTTTGGGGATGTTGAAAGAGCACCACAGGGGAACCACCAGATTGTTTGGGTTCTTCCATCAAAGTTTGGAGACAAAGCCCATGAAGGACGGGGAATCAGAGACAGCACGGCCCTTGTGGGGGATAAGGGCAGGCGCACGTGCCGCGTGGGGCTTGGAAAAGTTATCTGTCGTGCCACGGCAGCTCGGGTTTTTGGCCCGCGAGTTCACGAATATCAAGCCGTGATTGACATGATTAAAACAGCCAAAATAAGTGATGTCCCTTTGGTTTTCCCTTGAAGCAACCCCAAAAAGGGCACCCTCGAAGAAGGGAAACCCACCTGGTCGGGAAGTATTTTGTGTCTGCCCATGTTTGGGGATCCCAAATTTCATGTTGTTTTCTCAGGAAAGTGTAGTTTTTAGCTGCAGATTGGGCTCAGATCAAACTGCGATTGGTGTAAAAGGCTAGCAATGGACATGTCCAATGAACAGTGATCCCTCGTGTGGTATTGGTCAGGTTGCGTTGGTACTGCGCTTGAATTGTCGCTCAGCCGGATGCGCAAAACTCCTGTAGTATCCTGGTGCTCATAGGCAGAACCGCACGCACATGCAAATAAATCAATATGTATATATATATATACATAGTGTATATATATATATATATATACAGTACTATGCGTCTTTCTGGCAACCTCACAGGGAGGGTTTGACGGCCTCACACACTAAATGCGCGCGCTACGGGTCCATCCCGCACTTTTCCAAGCCTTAATTCAAGAAAGGACACCTGGAGAGCGTGTGGCAGAACGGCTCAGATGGAAGTTTGCAACTGTGCTCACGTGAATGTGCAGGAACACGGGTGACCCATATCTCCCGACTGGACCCGAGGCCGACGTTCTTAGGGCGGGTAGATGTTTGCCAGTCCCACCACTTCATTCTTGACATGCGCTGACAGGCACAGCGCGGATGCGATTCATGAAGCCTGCTTTCAACCAATCTGCCATGGCTTGGGGTTTGAAAACAAAGGATTGATGCACTGGGGCTGTTCCTATCCGACCCGATGGGCACAAGTTGGTGGAAAAGGGAAACCAAAAGGAGACGAATCCATTTCTTAGCCATCGCTGTTTGAACTGTTTGGTCATATTTTTAAGGTCCCGAGCAACCCTTGATATTGTTTGTCATGTTTCACTTTGAGGGGCTGCTTCAAGAACGAGAGTTCTTGCAACCATCAGATACCAGTGCAGTTTTTGCCGAAGCCAGTTGCTGTGCCACGAGTTCCGGGTGCTTCCCGTTTCACCTTGGCTTTCTGTGCTGAAGTGCACTGAAGCGCGGTGCAGTTGAAAAAGTTCGCAGAGTTGGAGGCGGAGACTGCGGGAAGTTGGGTAAACACGGCAGGCCATGGCATGGTTGTGGTTGGTAATCCTCACTCCCTGAGTTCATGGACTTTATACTTTTTGGGAAGACCATTGTGGTGGTAAACAAAAAGTTTGGACTTTGTTTGGCCAATCAACTCAGGAAGCGAGAATCATTGTACATTGTTGCTTCTTGTGGTTGAGTGGTTGAAATCCAACCACTTAATTGCTAAAATCTGAAAATGTTTGCTCCCCTTCCAACGTCAACCAAGTATAGGCGCACGGGTGGTTTGTGAGGTTCTTTTCTTACTTGGCGGTTCCCGGCCATCGCCTGGGTTTTTTTTAGGTTTTTAGTTGGTTTAGTGGTTGGTTTCCGAATTTAAGCCACCAACAAATAAAATTTTTAGCAGGGGATCTGAGGACAGCCCAGTTTAGTCATCTCTGATTATGAAGTTCAGTTCAGCATAGCTCGGATTGGTTTTTGTGAAACAGCTCGAGCCAGGATAGCCTCCGCAGCCGTGTTTGGCAAGTTCGTGGCTTTTGCCTAGCTCTTCGGTGGATTCTCAAAATTTCCATGCGCGCAAGGACTGCAAGTGCAAACTTTGCAGGTAGGTTTGGCCTCATTCCCGTTCCCGTTTCATGACGTGCGCGGAGAGGATCCGGACAAAGAGGTTACGTTTGTCGGGCTACATGGGTTTCTGTTGCTCATGGTTCAAGCAGGGCTGGAGTCAAGCAGAGTTGGAGTCAGTATGAAAGAAAAGCACTCCGCATCTGTCCAGACACTCCTTGAGTTGCCCGCGTTTGGGCCAGCGGTACTCTGATATCGTGTGGTGGCACTATAGTGTTAGAAATGATAGATCAGTGCGCACTGCGCAAATCGAATTTCCGCTTTGGGGGGTTCGGATATGTAGGCTGTCAAGCCCGAGAGATCTGAGAAGCCAACACCACATGATGTTGCGAGGTGTTTTTTGTTGTCTTCTCGCAAGCACATGCCCCGGGCGCATCACAACTTCTCCCGTATTCCAGCCGTACCGCTCCCAGCTTTTGAAACATGACTTGGTGGTTCCCAGCCATTTGGTTCCTTGGCTTGTTTTCAGCTTTTTAGTGTTTAGTGCTCGGATGTCCGAATGTACGCCACTCAACGTGAGTCACTTCTAGCGGGGGATCTTAACACGGCCAGCCCAGAGAGCATTCCAACTCGCCTTCCACGGAATTCGCCAAGCGTCGGATGCTGGCCCTCGCGCTGCTGCCAAAGCTGGTCTTTGGCCAAAGCTGTGCCGCAGACAGCCAGGCGGGCCGAGCGCCGAGCGCCCTTCGCGGCGAGCGGCTTAGCGGGTTCCGAGCGGCGGTTCGCGGGGGGTTCGGCCGAAACGTTTCGCCGAAACGTCTACGGGAAGCTTTAGTGGCTGAAAGGCGAAATCGACCTTTAAAGCTTTTGGTTTCCCTGAGTAGGTCCATTTGGGTGTGGCTCAAAATTGAACGATCGGAGGGGCAAACCGCAGATTCCGGTCCATGTTTCCACTTACCAGGGCAAGCCATTTCGGTACCGGTTTTTTGAGCCACAGCCATTTAGTCAGAAACAAAAGCTTAACCTTTTGAATTTATTTCTCCGCTTTTTGGGCAACTGAGGAAAACCGCCCCAACGGTATGTCCCTGTGGCTTCCTCTTACACGCCGAGCATCAACCCAAGGGCCGCCGTCCTAGATGGTCATGGGCCCATGGGTGTGTTGTTTTTTTGAGACGTGGGTTTCCATCCGATGGCATGCTGTTCCTTGGAGAAGTCGGTCTAACAAATGAGTCGTGGAATCTATTTGAAGCTCGGCAAGGGATTTGCAACCTCCTCGAGGAAGGTTTTATGATTCGGGGATTGCGTAGATTCGGCCTGCAGTTGGTCCACAATCAAAGCCCGGGTAGATGAAGGTTAGTAAGGGACCGTCCCAGCCAGAAATAGCTGCGGCCGCCTTCTTAATTCTTGAAGCATGGTTCTGGGTCAACCATTTTTAGCGGGTTTTGATTTTGACTCATGTCTGAACAGGCCACATCATGGCACCTCGTGGCATGGGGGGTTGGGTGCAGCATCCAGCAGGGTTTTGTGGTTGAGGCTGAGAAGGACTCGAGAGGCGCTGGACACTTCCCAGCTGCACCCGCTCTCTACAAGTTGCTTCCCCAGACTTTAAAAGTTATACCTGGATCCTCCAAGGTGTGCTTTTTTGTGCTCCTTCAAGAAAAAGTGTTTTTTTGGCTGAAAAAACGCTTTTGCTTGATGCGGGCTTCTCCAGTGATGCATGTGTTCCTTGCTTGGGCTTGTGCTGAAAAAGCGCTTTTCCTCGGTCAAAAAGCGCTTTTACCCGGCCAAAACACGCTTTTTCTGACACGCTTCGCGGCAATCTTGAAAAAGAGCAGTTGTTGGGTCAAAAAGCGCTTTTTGAGCGAACCAGCGGAAATTATTGCGTTCTCGCCAAACGGCGGAAATTTTGCACACCCGGAGTGCCCAGGTATGAGCAAAAAGATACAAATTCCCCCCATCTTGGGAAGGACCCTACTGGATAAGTTCGCCCTTGCCAGCGTTCCCAAAAGTGGTTTTCACTCCAGAGGGTCACAAGGCTCGCTGCCCAGGGATTGGTTGAGAGCTGTCCGTTTCCCAACAGCCCAGGTACCTGTGACCCCAGAGGGGAACCCTTGCAAGGAGGAACCAAATCTCCTTTGGATGTTTTGTTTCTTTTTTTTTTTAATGAAAGCTGCAACCCAAAGCACCCCGAAAAAGCCAACGTCTGTTTGCATATCGACCCTTTCTTTTTGCATAGCTTTCAGCGGAAAGTTCTCGCTCGTGGGGCGAGTTCCGGGCTAGCCGTAGAGGTTCTCTACGGAAGCTAAAATCACCAGAAACCGTGCTACAGGGAGGAAGAAGCCTTTCTGGATACAGAAAACTCGTCCTCAAATGAGGAGCCAGGGGGTAAAGCTAGTTTTTGTGAATCCTAGTGATTTGCCCCAAACAAACGCTGTATACCATGTTTCACAGATCGGGGGTAGTTCTCACCCCTTCAGACACACACACACACACACACACCCGACATGGAGTTGCAAGCAGCAAAACCACGCCAGGCTTGTCAGGAGTGGCGCTCCTTCGAGAGGTGTGCTATTCCAGCAGGCGAGACGGTGATTGTGCGGGGGCGAGGGCGGTCCAATCGCCCGATGTGGCAAGGCGTTGTTGTGTTTATTTGTTGTTTTTCTCCGAAGATAATTTGCATTGGTCAGCTTCCCGCTAATTGGTGGTTTGGATCGGTGATTCAGTGGTTTCGGGGTGGTTTCCCATTTACCCTCTACAAGAACCAGGGGTACCAATTAGGGGATACCTGAATTCGGGTGACCTGGAAAAAGGGAAAACATTGCCGCCTATTTGAGCGGCATGTCCAACTTAGTTTGCCAGACTTAGCTTTCATTTCAAGCTTTTGCATCTACGCGTTTCCTTTGTTTTCCCTTTCAACCAGAAAGTTACGACGTCTTGCGGGGGGGTGGAAGTTCGGCCCAGACCACCTTAAGCTGCTTTGCTTGCAGCAGCATTTTATGTGCTGCTGAGACTCGGCCGCGCTCCGGTGCTTGAGTTTTGCAACGCCAGGCGACTCGTAAATTGGAGGATGCCAGAACGTGGTGACCTCACACAGGAGGGTTTTCGACCTCACCCTCGATGAATCCTCCTTACTTGGGGATTCGTTTTGTGTCAGGTGTGAATAACGATCAGCTGCTACGACGGGTTTTCAAAGGGGGCCAAAGCGAAACTGACAATTTTGCGGGCTTTACGCCCCACAGCCCCCCAAAACAGGGGGATCACAAAAGCCCAATGTTGGTGCCATCAAGCCCAGTGGCGGTGTTGCTTTGGCATTTCCTAATCAACTAAAGAAATCAGGTCACCCTTAGTTGGTGGTTTGGATTGGTGCTTGTAGAGGGTAAATGGGAAACCACCCCCCGAAGCTCCAAACCACCAATCAGAGGGAAGAAGATGCAAAATTGTGTTTTTGCAAGACATGAAACCCTGGCAGGGTTCCACCTTTCGGTTTGGAGAGGTGGTTTGGAGGGTTGGGTGGCAGTGGTCGATTTCCACCTGGTTACCCCCATGTTTTCCCTTAAATCCCAGGGGGTGGTTGATTTCCCTAAAACAAAATCCCCTGGTTGAAAGGTGTACCTCGTCCAAAAGTGGAACCCCGAAACCCTGGACTTGATCCAAACCAAGGGGAGGGAAGATGAACAAGGGACTAAAAAGGAACCTCACCCTTGGTGGCTTTGGATTGCTGCAGGTAGAGCCTAGATTCAATGAACAAAAGGGGGCCCCTTGCAGAACACGACTGGCCGAGTTCCACTTTTTCGCTACCTCCAAGGTAGACTTAGATCCGGTGGATGTTTGTTCTACCTGTTCCCGGTTTAAGTCTACCTGGGGTAGCGTTTGCCCTGCTGGTTCTCAGCAGAGAAAGAGAAATGGAATGACCCTTACAACCCATCCAACTTGTGGTTTCCTTTAAGGGGACCCCCTTCCGGTTCATTCCATTTCTCATTCCCTACCTATATCGCACCAGCAAGAGCCGCCGAGCTGATAAGCGACAAAGACTCCAGGTACCCCACTTCTTTGCTGGGTTTTAAAGGGACACCAAGAGGAAAGCCGTCATTTTTGGAAGTAACATAGAAACAAATCTGGTACCACTTCTTTGCTGGTGTTTAACGGGACATCACGAGGAACATCGGCATTTTGCGAGGTAAACGAAAACAACAAAAAAAGGATTGCACCAACCAGACGCAGTCATGGTTGTTGTTGGGAAACATGTTACATGTTTGCTTATTTTTTTTAGTGGGAAATCCCAACTTAACTGCTAACATTTAAATGTTTGCTCCCCTTCCAACGTCAACCAAGCATTAACCGTTTGAAAGGTGGGTTCAAACACTCATGTTGAGACAACCCAATGCCTGAGCTGTCTAGTATCAAACCAAGAGGGAAACGGTCATTTTGGGAGGTAACATTAAACAAAGGTATTTTCCCAACCAGAACCAGTTCAAACCCCCATGCACCATGTCCATGTAGTATCACAAGTTCTGCCTGAGGTCGTCGAAAAGGTCCCCCAAACTTCCACGTCCCAGCGCGAGGAGATGACCTCGGGGAGCCATTGTGGCTCACAGTGCAGGAGGCGAAGCTCCGCTGTGAGGAGGAGGCCCGGAAAGACTATGACTCAGCCTTGCGGTTCTTGGATCAAGTGGTGTTGTTTGTTTTGTTTTGTTTATTTGTTTTTTGTTTGGCTTTGCAGTTCTTAAGTTGGTTTGTTGTTGGTTCTGTTTTTCTTTCTTTTTTTGGTTTGTTTGTTCTGTTCTTTTTTAGGGGCTGCAAAATCCCGCGAATTTGTATACGGGTTGCGAAGTTGAGCCACAATTTTGGGTCTGGGCCAAGCCAGTGGCAAACAGTTTGGACACTTTTTGGCCATCCAAGCTCGGGAAGTGAGAGGTTTTGGCCCTGCAAAATGGGAGAAAATACGTCCTCCGGGGTTTCTCTTTAGATCTCACAAAGCAAAGATGATGACTGTTCTAGGGGACACTTCCATTTCCATTCTTAACCCACGGATCCGGATCTTTCCAGAAAACCATCGTTGAACTCCAGGGGAAACAGATCCGGTTTTTGAACAGAACGATGGTTGAAAAGAATGGGGAATCAACCCCTAGAACTGCGCAAAATGGTATGGTTTCCTTTTTGGGTTTCCCCTTTAGAAACTCACAAAACTACATGGTACTGCAAGTCGGGCGGGATTTCCTGATTAGGTTTCCCTTTTATCACCCACAGAGCAACATGCTACCCTGCACTCCAAAAAGCGCTCATTTGAGTGGATAAAAACACGGATATGGAATCTATGTTTGGACGAGGTTCTTTGGTTTCGGCCATTTGAGCAGTGCCGGAAACAAAGCCTTGACGATATTGGGGTGTGGGTCAAAAAACAACCGCCAGGGGACAAAAGCAGGTTTTAGTCCATGCTTCCATTTAGCAGGGTTCCATTTTGGGAACCCATTTTTGACCCACAGCCATATTGAGATAAGTTATGCTTCAGAGTAAGGCCTAGTTCAAACCCACCCTGAGGGTCCCGATTGATTTTGGGGCCTCAAAATGGGTTGTTTTTGAGGGCCCGTGAGGAATTGGGCTCTCCGAGGGTCCCTTATGGGGTCTGCGTTGGAGGAGTCATGACCCTTAGGGTATAGACCATTTTGCCCACACGGTCGCGTGCGCGGACCCGTTTCAGGCGCCAAAGTGCGGCTCCTTCAAGTCATGCCGCGCGACATGCCATACGCGCGCGCGACATGCCGCGACCTCGCACGGCCTGGTGTCAGGCGGAGTGCGCCGGCTTCACGTTCGAGGGAAGCCGCCCGGAAGGCCGGCGGGAGGGTATCAATTGGTGCCGTTTCTTTTACCGTTTCTTTTTTGGTTGGGAGGGTTCCCCTACTAAAATAGACTGCTGAAACAAGGGTACCCTTATTCTGGCCTCTCTACTGGAGGACCTAGGTGAAACTATTTTGTTTGGGGGGGAGCCTCAATGGATAGCTTCAAAATGGGTTGGTTCTAGCACCCCGCAATCCCCAACCGCTGCTCTTTGGTTGCCGTAGGAGGGGGGGGGTCAACCACTACTTTGTGGAGATACTTGGGATTTTGGTCATGGAAGTAGTAAAGGCTCATAAAATCTGCCCTCCAAAACGGACGTCAAAACGAGGCCGTATGTTTTTTGCTGAGGTACTTTTGGTTCCCCTGCAACAAGAAATGATTCAATCCCTACGACAAACTGACAACACCTTCCAAGGGTCAAAGTTAGGATAATGCGTTCTTCTTGTGACTGTGGTCATTTGAAGCAACACCAGCGAAGCTCGTAACGCCCGGTGTAAGACCAGGTGACTCTATGTACCAACTTCCAGAAAGAGAATGCCCAATGCGATCCGACCGGCTGTTGGTTGGCGGCTTGGGTTCCTGGAAGGCTGCGTCTTTTGGATATTCCACAGAGGCTCATGCAAAATGTGCCATCGAAGTTTGGAAGGGATCCACTTTGAAAAAGCTGGGTCTTTATAAGGCATGGAAAACTACCTACAGAGAGCATAGCAGAACGTGAATGTGGGCCAAAGAATTGGCTACGGTTGACGGACCCCCCCCCCCCCTCCCCACGGCACGTAGGACGCAAGCAGGAAACAAGGGAAACACCGCTTGTGATTGCGATGGTTGGTGATGAGTGCTTCTGCAAATTGCCCCAATGCCAATGGATCTAGAAGTCCAAGGCACTGTTGGCCAACAAGAACTACGGTCCAAGTACGCGGATACCGTAACCGACATGAACAGACTAGCCAGCCCCTCACGTTGTGGATTGAGGAAAATCCATTACACATCTCCAAGGACAGTTTCCTCTTGGGCTTTGTCCTCAATCTGAATCTAGGTATTGGAAAGGGCAGTTCCAGGGATGGGTCTGGGAGATAAAAAGATTATGTACCACTTATACAAGGGTATACACTGCTTGATATTTTCCTCGATTCTGTTTCGTAGGCAAGCCACCCGGCATGTTACACATGATGCCAAACTATGCTTGGTGTTTCAAGCAACAGCGCGTTGAATTCTCCACAGATGGTATGAAGGTGGACCATGGACACTAATCCTTGGGGCTACATGGGCTTGCAACAATTGGGGTTTTGAAATTCCCGCGAATACCCAATTCCATCAACTGGATTCATGGGCGAATTCCGGTTCAAGATGGGTTCCGGGAGGATTCTACCCGGGCTTATGTTTTGTGTGGCTTGCTTTGTGCCTTTTTAAACGAAGATATTATATAGGGGGATCACCAACTTTGGTTTCCCTGTGTGTTTGAGGGTGCGCACTCTAAGGCTTATGTTTGTTTCGTGTTTTGATTGGTTTCTGCATGGATACGCATTTAAGGCTGGTTTGAAGGGAAACCACACCCACCCCCACACGACCCCCCTCCCCCTTGAGGCTGGTTTAAAGGGAAACCGAAAGGACACGATTTTGTCTTGTTCAAACATGGGCTAGGTGCACCCACCATTTTAGAACCTATGTTCGCTGGTACGATTTGGATTTTGACCCATGGCCACATCATGTTCTTATGGCCGGCCCAACTTTGCCCTGTGAAGGCCTGATTCAGAGCCTAGGATCTGAACTCGGCGCCCGGCTGATCTCAGCCGCGCGCCGTTTTGGTCGCAGGGCCGCTGTCCGGCGGCCGGGTCTGGGTGCACCTGAAGCGCATCTTCGACTGCGCGCGGGGGCACGGCCCGGTCGGTTTTTTTTTCCCGCCCGGCGGCTCGTTTTTTTCGGGTCGGGTTCTTGGGGTGCTGGCCGTTGTGAACTGGCCAGTGCGTCTGGGAGGCTGATTTTTTTCAGGTTAGCATGGTTGTTGTTGGGAAACATTTTGCATTTTTGCTTATTGTGGTTTAGTGGTTGAAATCCCTACTTAACTGCTAAAAATCATTTGTTTGCTCCCCTTCCAACGTCAACCTAGGTAGTTGGTTTGGATGGGTGGTTTGCGGGTATGGACCCCATGTTTACAAATCAAATGGGGAAGGTACCCCTTAACGTCCAAACCACCCCTTCCCTCCAAACCGTCAGCCATTAACCCAAACCAACAATTGGAGGGAAACGTGGTTTTTTGTTTGGGGTCCATTGCGGGGGGCCTATCAGTTTCCATTGTTTAGGCCAGACCCCCTGCTGTGTACTGCTAATTGCTAGAACCATGGGCAACGAGCATTGGGTGCCTAATATAAGGGGCTGAACAAATATATACCATCTTTACGTGGGTCATGACCAAACGGGAGCCAGCCACGACCGCTAAACCCCATTGATCAGGCATGGCGGGAGCCACGGCTCTTCTGGTTGGCTTACCTCTTAAAAACACAACTTTTCAACTTGTTTGGTAACATGGGCTGTATGTCTGTAAAAGATTAACTTCCCCAGGGCTTGGAGTTTTAAGGGGTAAGTTGGTTGTTCCTTCCAAAAGCGTCCAGAGTAAAACTTCTCGCCTCCGGCTTGAAGTCCCTTGGGCTGCAGGACACATTGCCATCGACTCTGTAGGAAGCTGGTTGAAAAAACTTCCCTGAAGCGAATGGAAAGTGTGTTTGGTTTGCTAGGCGTGGCCAATTGTTGTCATGGTCCGAAAGTTGTTTTGTCTTCTTTGTTTTTTTCTTTTTTCAGAAGCTTCGCACGGAAGCAAGACAGGCACCTGGGGCTTAGCGGAAGCTGCTGTTGTAGAGTAGCCAATCTATGAGTGCCACAGACTTGAGTCATGGCAACCTGCACCAGCACTCTCCCAACTCGAATTTTCCTCTGTCCAGAAAATCTGAAGTACAGCAACCAAAAAGCACAACAAGCAGTGGTTGCTATGGGACCCGGGTGCTATGGACGGTCCTTGATTGCAAGTGACCTAAAGGCCTTTGGTGTTTCATCCAGGGCCAACCGGGTCGGTGCAAAGCCCAAAACCAAGGCATCTGAAGCTACGTCCCCCACCCTTTTTTGGATGGTTGTCGTTGGGAAACATTTTACATTTTTGCTTATTGTGGTTTAGTGGGAAATCCCCACTTAACTGGAAAAAATGAATTTTTGCTCCCCTTCCAACGTCAATCAAGTTTGGGGGAGGGTTCCCCTTCTAAAATAGACTACAGCAAAAAGTTGGTGCCAACTTATTCTAACCTCTCTACTGCAGGACGTAGGAAGGTTTGCCAACAATGGGGAGCCTCCCAACGGCCTCGCTTGCTTCGGGTCGGTGAATGAGTTTCCCAGAACTGGCACTGGTCATGAGCTCACTCTGAGATCCTGGGCTTTGAGCTCTTCGAAAAGAACATATTATTTGGTGGCTCCCGAAGGCCATCCGGTTCAACTTAGCTTTTCAGCCTTTTAGTGTTTGATGCTAGTTTTCATGTATCCCACCAAAAGTCTTTTAGCCGGGGATCTGAGGGCAGAGAAGTTTTTAGGCGTACACGACACGCTTTGTTTGGTTTTGGCCAATCCTCTCAGGAAGTGAGAGGGCTTAACCTTTCCCTTTGCCTTCTTCACAACAGGCGAGCCCCTTTTGTGCAAACAGCCCTATTTCCTAATCATTAAGCTTGGGTTACCAACCGTTGACCGATTCCCCAACGCTTGGGACAACGGTATTTGCTGCTGTTGATTCCACCCACCTCTTCTTAAGAGTCCGGTATTCTGGTATTTGTTGAGCATTGGTTTTGCTTATGCTGCCCTTCCATCTATGTTGCCATGGAACCTGACTGGGGGGGGTGCTCGAACATAGCGTTATCTCAAAGGGACTTCTTGTGCGTTCCATGTTAGTCAAACGTTTGTTTGGTACGTTGTCTAATAATCCAGCAGTCCTTCCATATTGGCACCATGGAGTTCTACTTACCCCTCTGACAAGCGATTTCAACAAATTGCATTTGGCATTGGTTTCGTTCATTTGTGGGTGGCTGCAAAGACATGCCGAGTTCTTTTTTCTCACAAGTCGTTTCAGTTGCTTGGTTCCGTTCATGTTTTAGGTTGCCGCAAAGACATGTCGAGTTCCTTGCCAACGATTTTGGCAGGGACGGGACTACCTAGAGTCTCCATGACCCTTTAAAAATGGGGTCTTTATGGGTCATTGCCCTAAATAATGGGGTCATGGACCCATTTTTAAAGGGTCAGAAGGAGACTCCAGGTAGGCCGAAAAAAGAAAGCCGCACAGGTCGATGCCGAGTGGGTTGCCTGGCGAAAGGCTGGGATGTCCGGCGTTGGTGGTTCCCAGCCATCCGGTTCCTGAGCTTTTTAGATCTTTTCAGTGAGTGGGGATTTCCACTTGGCCCACCAATAGTGGAACTTTGGGCGGAAAAATCAGAGGACAGCCCAGTTCCTCAGTTTTCCTTTTCGGACCTTGAAAAGTGGCAATGTAAATCGACCACACCAGTAAAACGATCAACTTTTGCAGGGAAATCCTATAAGCCCCCTCCTTTGACACATGCCCATGGATTTTCCTCCCTTTTGGGTTTGCATTGGCCAAATCTGAGTGAATCAACTTCTCGAGTGCCCTTGCATTTGCTGTTGCCTTTTGCACGTTTTGGGTAGAAAGCAAATGTTAACTTCAAGACATGTGGGGAAGGCTAAGACACAGGAGGCGAGCTGCGCGCACAACCTCGAACCGGGCTTCATTATCCTTGCGGCTTATGAATGTGTGGACGAATAAAGCTCCCTGATAGACGGCCTTCCGTGTTGTTGGGAAGCATTTTACATTTTTGCTTATTGCGGTTTAATGGGAAACCCCCACTTAAGTGCTAAAACTTAACATTTTGCTCCCCTTCCAACGTCAACCAAGAATCCCGGTGAGCCCCTTTACCTGTAGTTGACTGTGGGAAACACCCTTCATCGGCTTACAGCGGCCTTGTGGTTGGAAATACCGCGTGCCCGTTTGCATTTGTTGGTGACTTAAACACCCCAGGAGGTGGTTGAGGCATGGGCTCTGCAATTGCCATATGCTTCGCTCAAGGCTCAAGATGCTTCGTTTCATTTTTCCAGACGAGAAATCCCATGCTCCATGCCCGCTTGTAGAAGCGATGGTCAAGAATCCACACGTGGGATGCCTCATGAAACAAATCCATTGCAGCTCAGAAAAAGCGGGCATTGCTACAACGTGCACTGCGCATAAACAAAGACACTGAAAAAGCTGAGGGGAAACTCCAACTTGTCTAGTTTCAGAGGTGTTTGTTGCTGGTCAAACTAAAGCAGGCACCAACTAAGGCACACCCAGCGAGATCCAAGTGGCTCCAAGTTTCGCGGCGCCAAAGCGTGCCATGGGAGCAATGAGGTGCTTTCGAAGGCCGAGGCCAGGTGTTGGATCTTCGTGGCCCTTCTGGACCCGTTCGCGGTTCGGGGTTCGGGGTTCGGGGATGCCTTCATTTCACATTGGTCAAGGGAAACCCAAAGGGCAACCACCATGTCTAAAGATTCTATTCTAAGACATCTAGGTCCCCCAGTAGTGCCCTTTTTTTGGGGAGGGGTCCCCTACTAAGATAGACTACAGAAAAAAAGTTGGTACCCTTATTCTAACCTCTCTACTGGAGGACCTAGGGATGCTCCTGCTGGTTTGCGTACCCTGGCCTGTCATTTGCAACTTCCCCTCTTGGGGATATGATGTCAACTAGTTTGTTGCAACTAATAGGTGTCCTTTTCGGTTGATTTGGTTGAACAATAGAGCCCTGGTTTTCCTAGTGGTTCAATCAACTACCAGGGCCATCTATTTTCCCAAAAAGGACACCTATGGTTGCAACAGTGATCTTTTGCGGGGGCCTGACAACACATAATAATACCGACCAGTCGAAGGTCCGAATACCCAGCAAGATATAAAGTCATCTTCAAGAGGATGTTATTCCCGTCGCCTGCAACCTAATTGGGCCCTGCGCTTGTTCTTGTTGTCTTTGAGCTTGAGGATTGTTTTTGCTTTATAATTGCTTTATCGTTTGCTTTATCTGAAGTTTTTCTGCTATCCTACAATTTCCCTTTTTGGTTTCCTTTTGATTGTTCCCTGCTTTCTCATACTGGCTTCTCTTTTCCTCACTCCCCAACAAGAAGTTCCTGTTCCTGGACTCTAAACTTTGTGGGAAGACCATTTTAAGTGGTAAACTGTCAGGTTTGGACTTTCTTTAGCCGATCCACTCGATCGGGTTTGGATTAGTAAGAAATGCAGATGGTTTCCTTTTTGGTTTCCGTTTTGTTTTCCTTTCTGGGTGTTCCGAGTGGTTCTTTTCACCACTCACCGGGCCGGCAAACGGCGTAGGCCACTAAGGGCTCTTCGCGCCGGAGCGCGAACGGCGCCCTTCCGAGGCAGTCTGAAGCGTTGGGACAGTTGTCATGATCTGGGTGAATTGTCACACGACCACACACCCCAAACGGTGGTTTGTGCGGGGAATGGCTTTTAAACCAGCTTATTTCAGGCTGGTGAAATATTACTTTAGAGCCTCCGGCTCAGTCCGCCGACATTGTCCTCTCCCTTTTCTCCTTCTTCCTCTCTTCCTTGTCTCCCTTGTGTGTTCTGTCGTCCTCTCTCCCTCCCTCTGCTCCCATCCTCCCCATCCCCCCAAGCCTCTCTCTCCCCAATCTCCCTCTCTCATGTATGTAATGTATGTATGTATGTATGTATGTATGTATGTATGTATGTATGTATGTATGTATGTATGTATGTATGTATGTATGTATGTATGTATGTATGTATGTATGTATGTATGTATGTATGTATGTATGTATGTATGTATGTATGTATGTATGTATGTATGTATGTATGTATGTATGTATGTATGTATGTATGTATGTATGTATGTAAGTATGTATGTATGTATGTATGTATGTATGTATGTATGTATGTATGTATGTATGTATGTATGTATGTATGTATGTATGTATGTATGTATGTATGTATGTATGTATGTATGTATGTATGTATGTATGTATGTATGTATGTATGTATGTATGTATGTATGTATGTATGTATGTATGTATGTATGTATGTATGTATGTATGTATGTATGTATGTATGTATGTATGTATGTATGTATGTATGTATGTATGTATGTAATGTATGTATGTATGTATGTATGTATGTATGTATGTATGTATGTATGTATGTATGTATGTATGTATGTATGTATGTATGTATGTATGTATGTATGTATGTATGTATGTATGTATGTAATGTAATGTAATGTAATGTAATGTAATGTATGTATGTAATGTATGTATGTAATGTATGTATGTATGTATGTATGTATGTATGTATGTATGTATGTATGTATGTATGTATGTATGTATGTATGTATGTATGTATGTATGTATGTATGTATGTATGTATGTATGTATGTATGTATGTATGTATGTATGTATGTATGTATGTATGTATGTATGTATGTATGTATGTATGTATGTATGTATGTATGTATGTATGTATGTATGTATGTATGTATGTATGTATGTATGTATGTATGTATGTATGTATGTATGTATGTATGTATGTATGTATGTATGTATGTATGTATGTATGTATGTATGTATGTATGTATGTATGTATGTATGTATGTATGTATGTATGTATGTATGTATGTATGTATGTATGTATGTATGTATGTATGTATGTATGTATGTATGTATGTATGTATGTATGTATGTATGTATGTATGTATGTATGTATGTATGTATGTATGTAATGTATGTATGTATGTATGTATGTATGTATGTATGTATGTATGTATGTATGTATGTATGTATGTATGTATGTATGTATGTATGTATGTATGTATGTATGTATGTATGTATGTATGTATGTATGTATGTATGTATGTATGTATGTATGTATGTATGTATGTAATGTATGTATGTATGTATGTATGTATGTATGTATGTATGTATGTATGTATGTATGTATGTATGTATGTATGTATGTATGTATGTATGTATGTATGTATGTATGTATGTATGTATGTATGTATGTATGTATGTATGTATGTATGTATGTATGTATGTATGTATGTATGTATGTATGTATGTATGTATGTATGTATGTATGTATGTATGTATGTATGTATGTATGTATGTATGTATGTATGTATGTATGTATGTATGTATGTATGTATGTATGTATGTATGTATGTATGTATGTATGTGTATGTATGTATGTATGTATGTATGTATGTATGTATGTATGTATGTATGTATGTATGTATGTATGTATGTATGTATGTATGTATGTATGTATGTATGTATGTATGTATGTATGTATGTATGTATGCATGCATGCATGTACATGTATGTATGTCATGCATGCATGCATGCATGCTTACATACATGTATGCATGTATGTACGTATGTATGTAATGTATGTATGTATGTAATGTCAGGTAATGTCATGCAATGTAATGTAATGTACTGTACTGTAATGTATGTATGTATGTATGTATGCATGTATGTATGTATCCTTGCACTTCCCCTTTGCTCCCGAGTAATTTCCCGCAAAAAAACACGGTTTTTTCCAGCGTTTTCGCAAAGATGACGTCCAAAAACATTGAGGTTTTCCAGATTTTCGGCAAAAGGATGCAGGAAGCCCAAGCCAGCAAAAAAGCCGGCAGGGGGAATCGAGCCTGGGACCCCTGTTTTGCGACACCGGCTCCCCGAAGACTACGTTTAGTGGAACGTCATCAAATTGCCGCGCGGTACGTGGGGGACCCCCCCCCCCAAAAAAAAACCTACGTAATAGACGTCGGGCGGGGGGGGGGTTAGGGGGGGGGTTATCCTCTATCCTCTAGTAAGTATCCGACACGCCGAGCAATGTCGGCGGATAATTCACCCAGTATGATGCGTACCCCAAACGTCCGATTCGATTGATTGTGTGGCCGAATGGGCTGTTTTGAGGGATGAGGCATCGGTCAGTGTTCTCCCTTGGGTGGACTTGAGGGTACCCGTTTTGCAGTGGTTTACAGCGAAGCCAAAAGAAAGACCATCATTTTGCCCCCCAAACAAGGACACACCAACATTGCTGAACACACATGGCAAGATGTCAACAAGCAATTATGTTAATCCTTTCCACCTGCGATAGCATAATTACCAATCTACTGGCGCACACACACAATTGCAGAACCATACGAACTGATCAAACTTTAGGGCATTTGGAAGTCAAAAGTTTCAGATTTCGGAAGGTCTTGGTGGATGTCGTTTGTTTCGGGTTCACTCTGCAAGCGG